AGAGAGCAACGACAGCTAATTCGTTCCAGGAATAAACGCGAGGCGTCGCGAGCTTGCTCCCACGCGTTCCGCTTCCTCGAAACTACCTACGATCTGGGGATTAATTGGATTCCGTGGAATCGACCGGGGTCCCATTGGTGTCAAACTTTGCTACGACCGCTTCTCAGTAACCGGACACGATGTTTTCATTCATGCCCGAGATTGCGACCAGATTCGCGTGGGAGAGGATGAGAGACTTTGGTTCGATGAACGGTGCTTTTGAACTGGCTGGGTTAAATATTTACCCTTCTTAAATTATTTTTAAGAGTTTGGTTAAACACGACACTTATGTAGAATCAGCGGAGGGTACTGCAATTACCCTGCTTTCTCCTCGATAATCCGAAGAGGAGAATGCGACGCCTAAAGTGTTCAGTCTGTCGGCAAGTTCGGCTTCTTAATTTTCACTTGGAAGGTAAAAGATCCGCTGTGGGCGAACAAACGTGTACGAAACATCCCTTAACAAACAGCGAGAGGCTCAAACCGGAGGGGCGAAAGTTAACCGAGGGACGAGCCGGAGACGTAGAGATCAGAGGTGGGCTAGTCGTAATCGAGTCCAGAACACGTCCCCCTCACGCTGGTCCTCCGCCCAGGGGTAGAAAAATCCACCCCTTTTTCAGCCGGTCGATACCAGGACGACCACCTCCTTTCCTTCTCCTCTTCCGCGTTCCATCCCCCCAATCTGCCTCGCCTTTTCTTTCTCGCACCCCCGATATGTACGGAGGACCCTCTGCTTTTGCTTACTTTCGCTCCTCTGCCGCTTCCTGCCGAGGTGGCGCCACTGTTTTTCACCACCCTTTCGCTTCTCCACCCCCCCCTCGCAACGCCGTCTGACGCGTGCGGCTTAACGTCTTCCACCTTCTTCCCGCGACTTATTTTCTTTTTTCATCTCTCCTATCCACCACTCGCTTTTTCTCTTCACCTTCTTCTTCGACTCGTTGTTTGCTTTTTTTCTTTTCCGCTCCACAGACAGAGAGAAAAGGGAAGTTCCGGTGGAGTTGACGCTTCTGAAATCTTTTGAGCTGCTGATTATGTACTCGGTAGAGACTTCAGCTTCTTCTATGTTTTCGGGTACTAGGATGCACTTAATAAGGTGTTTTGTTAGGGATTTAAAATTTCTGGAAGTTTAATTAGGGCGTTTGGTTTCCAGAAAGCTTTCCCTGTGAATACAAAAAATTCCAAATAGCATTTGCAAGGAAACCAGAAATGGTCTTGAAAAAAGGAATTCCTGGTAAGAAATGGTCGAGTTGCACGCGAGCCGTGTCACGGGGGAGATGGCAGCGTCGTTGTTTGGCCAACTGATCGTACAGAAGGGCAAACAAGTCTCTCGGCACCGAAAGGGTTTTGCTGGCTCTCCGGGTCTAACGTCATCGACTCGGCTGCTTTCCGCGCGGAAACTCGCACCGCACGACGGAAGAAGCGAGTCGAGCCAAGCCTCGCCGGCGAACAAACGTAGAGACAAAGGAGCAGACCCTCGAAACGCTTCTCTCTTCTCCTCCGCCTCCTCCTCTTCTTCTGTCGTGCCAAGACGCAGCTCGAGGCGGCCCTTTTCACTTTGAGGGTTAAGAAGTTAGCTGATGGTTCGAGGATTACTTAGAGTCCGTACATAAGGCAACTGTGCGCAGTTAGTTTGCGGTGCACACGGCCACAGAAACCAGCCGAGAGCTTCTTTCTTTCTCTTCTTTTCCTTCGTTTTTCTAGCGCGCGCCACCGCTTTCTTTCGCTTAGACCTCGCCCGTTAACGAGCATCCTGTTTTTACTCGTACACCCTGCTTTCTTGCCGCACGAAAATTTGATCAGAGAATTTTAGAATAATAAATTCCCGGGTCCGCTTAAAAAATTTATAAATTTTCAATGATACAACGAAGGGTAGACGGAAAATTGTCTTCGGATGTTAAGCCAGTCGGAGAGGCGGTTGATCGGCAGGAAACGAGTGAGAAGCGTGTGCAGCTTCGTGATTCGAAGTAGGTGGGCCCCAGGTAGCCAGGACAGATAACACCCGGAGATTACCGCGGACAGAGTCATTAGCAGCGTCGGCTTCTGTGTCCGCCAGCATATTCTCTCACTTTCATCCACTCCCTACCCTTTCTCTCTCTCTCTTTTCTCCACCTCCCACCATTTTATCCGGACGGTCAATTCACGCGGCACGGACACACCTATGGATGTACCTATCTATGTAAGTTGGACGAGTCGTTTCGGTGCCAGGTTCTCTCTACCTTTCCCTCCACTTCTCTTCGAGAGTTCCTTGCTATTGACACCGTCGTCGTTTGCTCATCCTTAAGATCTTTCCTTCTTTTTATTCCTATCTACAGGACCGCGGATGATCCTTCTGCCGTTTTTTTGTCGCTTCGACTCTCCGCTTTGGAATATACGAGCGGGACCAGGTATTCGAATGGGTCTTCGTTTTATTTTCATCTTTTCAAACTCCTTCTGATGAGTTTATCTGCCGGCGTTGAAAAACGAACTGTCTTCGGGCTGATTTTTAACATTGTGTTATCCAGGTACCATTGGAAATATAATATTCTGATCAAATGGAGATGTTTATTTATTTTAATCGCAACGCGAAATACAAGCGAAATTTACGAGAGAATATTCCTCGTGACAAACGTAGACTCTCGTCCTAAGATGGTTCGGAAAAATCCGAGGAAAAGTGTTGGGTATTTTATAGGACTAGTTCGGATCGTTAGAAATAGAAGGCAGGACTTGAATTCGATATACAACTGGAGTAATGCGAGTGCAACTGTTTCGTAGAACTTCGAAAAAGAGATCCTTAAATACGGCAGCTTAGCTGGTATTAATCACCGCGTAGATACTAATTGCAACGATCGGAGTTCGCACATATTTTCCACGGCGTCGGAGGCGTGTCGATGCCTGGACTTCCACGGAAAGAAGATAACGCGCGGGCGCGAACAGAGACGAATCGAAGAGAGAAAGAGAGAGAAGGTTTGATAGGCTAATGACAAACGCCTAGATTGGCCGGCTTATCAGCGGAGCAGCGCTAATTATTTCTGCTTTGTGCGAAGCCGCGCATAATGGCGACGCTCGCGGGCCAACAGCTTCTTTCGTGCGATCACGATTTCCACGCATCGGCCACCAACTGTTACGGTCCACGTTTTATTTATTGCCTGATCAACGCGAAACAGAGATTCCTCGTCGTTCGATTGGACACAGTTTCTCTCTTTGCTTTCGCGTTATCGAGATCGCGGGACCTTTTGCCCTCTTTCCCTCCTCGAAGAACGCCGAGGACTTTGCTTTCCACGCCACGCCCGTGGACTTTCGTCGATCCTTTGTTTTCTCATCAAGCGATTAAACTCTTTTTATTCTTTTTATTATCTTGTCGTGTTTCATGGTTCCGAAAGAAACGATGAGAATGGAATCTCACTGCCATGGTAAATTAACCCTGGATGATTTGTTCGTCTCTTGTTAGCAAATTTCACGACATTCTTTTGGATATTTTGTTTCTCAAAACCAGTCGACATTTTTTAATATTCTTCGATAGAAATTAATGGACTTTAGCGTCAGGTAGGAAGAGGAAAATCATTCAGAATTTTTATTATATCGATTAGCGAGGAAGAGAAAAAATAAGAAGAGGTCGAAATCGAGGCATATTTCTGGTAGTTCATCCGTCATGTTGCAAAATCATTTACAATCAGTGGCGTACACCGTGAAATAATGACTGCCGGTTTCTCCATTACGAAAATTCCGCCGTGTAATTACCATGATTCCCGAATGGAACGTAGATTTATCGAGACTTACCAGCAGAGTCGCGTCCATTCCTCGATGGAATGTCCTGTGCAATCTTGTTAGCTACTACTGCCACCGCGGTGCATTTGCATCGCCTCTGAGAGAGCGACTAAAAGCGAGTCGATTCCTTTTATTTGCCATCGAATCGGTCTGAAAGCGTTCGCCATTAAAAACACAGGTTACCGCGTCGCTTCTTCTTCCTCTGAAAGATTTTCTCCTTTCAGAATCCGTACTTTCCTTGGATTATACATTTCAGTGTATAACAGTCGCGAGCGGCGAATGATTTTAAAGGATAATGATTATCCTTCCGAGGAAACAAACATGCGTTTATAGGGAAACTTTGCGATTTTGTAAAAATCATTCAGAGCCTTGAAATTTGTAATTTTCGGGAAACAAAACTTTACAATTAGAGATTTTCAAATCGCAAGCCTGCAAGTTGAAAGTTTAGGAAATATTGTATTAGAAAATTGTCATCGCCAAGAGGAGATATTAAACGTAAAGATGAGCTTAATATGAGTTTGCGAGTTCGAGCCGATCAGCATTGCATGATGCAACTCGAGCAATGATTAGACGCTTTGCGAAATAATCTCACAAGCATGATAAACTCTGACTAGAATTTTTGTTTCTTCTCCATTGCTTTTCTCTTTCTCCCCTTCTTTTTAACTTTCATTCGAACTTGACTCGTTGATTGCGGATCGTAATGCCATGATAATGTACCGTTGTGATAAAGCTGTTACATGTATAAGTTCCTGACAATTTAGACTTTTTGGAATTGCAGAGCTTTTCAATTTTGGGGCGGTTGAAGTCTGAAAGTTTCGCAATTTTGAGAGTTGATGTCTCAAAGCTTTGCTATGTTGGGGGTTGAAGTCTCAAAGCTTTGCAATTTTGAGCGTTAAAATTTCAAAGCTTTGCAATTTTAAGGGTTGATGTCTCAAAGCTTTGCAATTTTCAGCGTTGAAATCTCAAAGCTTTACAATTTTGAGCATTGCAACTTGAATTATGAATACATACCTGAGTCCGCATACTCTGTATATGTAAAACAGCGGTGTCACGAAACGTGATGCGCTAAGTTTGCGCAAGCCTCGAAGAAGAAACACGTAGGTCAGCCAAGTTGATTTTGTTTGAAAGCCACTTGAAAGAGAAGGGGTGAAACGATTGCGAGCACGGGCTCTGCGTTTTGAAACAGTCTGTCCCAATGTATCCTCCGTTCGTTGTTTCAGACGATATTGAACTCGATGCACAAATACCAACCGAGGTTTCACCTGGTGCGAGCCAACGACATCCTGAAGCTTCCCTACTCGACGTTCAGGAGTTACGTTTTCAAGGAGACGGAATTCATCGCGGTGACCGCCTATCAGAACGAGAAGGTGAGTGAACATCCGCTTCCTGTTTCCGGGATCGTCCTCGTTCGTGGAACACCATGGAAGGAAAACTCTCGTTAACCCGCGATCCTCCGAATTTCAGACTTTATTCTACCAGGATCGATCTGCTCTTTGTTGGCCCGCTCGGTTTTGTTCGATTCGAGACGACACTCTTGTCCTTTTTCTTCTTCTTTGTTCCTGGAAAACGGGCTAAAGTTTCGGGGATGAAAATCGTCGTCTGGGAACATTTAGAGTTATAGGGATTTTTTACAGATTCCCTTAGAAGCTGCATCGATCGTCAACCCTAAAAATATTATAATAATTTATCGCAATGTATTAGGAAAATCATAGAAAATCATAGGTAGTAGGTTTCATTTTAATTTTGCATAAATTAAATATTATAATCTTAATCAATTTTCCAACGTGTTGCACAGACTTTCGTGGAACACAAGTACCTAACGTGTTGTTCAAAGGTTACCTGTATTACAATTATGTTAAAGAGACTGTATTGGTTAACGTTTCGGTTTCATTGTTCGCCTAATGAAAGATGATAGAGTGTAACAACGTTATCCGTTACTTCGATGTAAAGCTATTATCGAGTTATTATCAGTTGCGCATTGATTATCGATGTTTAGCTCGAATCAGTGGCATCGCATCAGAATTAATTGAATTAATTAAAGAAAATGTTGTAATTAACGGGTAAAGTGCAGCGAATCTGTTTAATTAACAAGCTTCATTATTTGTTCATGAAATTACAATGAAAAATAAAGGGAAAAATCAGGATGATATTGGCAAGCTAAGCCAATTAGAAGGGACATCGAAATTACAAATTATTCCCCGAACATTCGTCAATTAGTTGCTAATAACATTCATGAGAACTGATCGGAAAATTCAGCCTCCAGCTGTCACTCGAAATTGGTAATCTTCTCTTCGTTTCATATTTTCATTAAAACTGTTTATACAGTGACCGGGATATTTCTGAATTTCGCGAAAAGTCAACAATATTTTTCACCCTTCAAAGACTAAAAATCTTGAAGTTCAAAAAATTATTTTCTAATCGAAGAACTCTCTTCGGGATAGCACGCGTACGAATGGACATTTTTTTTTTCTTAGCAGAGTTTAATTAAAGGGTTCGAAGAAGCCCTGTGCTTCCTGGTACACATTATTCTTGAGGTAGCAAAAGGGGCCCCTTGTCCGAATATTTCGTCGCCCGATTCCTGGCCCCCTCTTTATCGCGGCTTCTTCCCGGTATCTGGGGCCGGAAGAAGGATATCGTTTCTGTGGATCTTCTTCAGAAAGTTTCTCGAAATCCGCCGCGAGCGGTTCGCTTCGTGAGATCATCAATTCCCTGTAACTCGAATCGAAAAACAAAATCAGGAGAGAAATTTTCTAACAATTCTGTTTTGTTCGCAGATCACGCAGCTGAAGATCGACAACAACCCTTTCGCGAAAGGATTCCGGGACACGGGGGCGGGGAAGCGCGAGAAAAAGTGAGTATCGCTTTCAAAATTGTGTTAAACAATAACCATCGTCAGAAGAACAATTCCAAAACTCACCCCTAAAGAATATTTAAACAGATTCATCCAAATCACGTAACACAACTTATTTGAAGAAACAAAGTAGCAAATGATAAACTACCCCATGCAAAATATCAGCCCCGGTAACGAAAAGCAATTCACCCGAGTCTTGTCTTAAAGATACGAGTCTAATTGATCGTTCTCTCCCTCGATCCGCGCTATTACTGCCGGCGTATCGAGCTCCGGGTCAACCCTCAGGGTTAGGGGTTGCTTTCACGGGGCTCATTTGCACCCTGGTCGGTCGGCCGACGGGTATCGTCCATTTGTATTCAATATCGCGGCTTTATGAGCTTACAGCCAGGAGGGTCGACCATTTCAATTTCATTGGTCGCGCCTGGGGGGGTGGTAGTTTCGAGTGGATCCTGACGAGGTTAAGTTCAGTTGCTATGCATAGGCCTCGTGGCAGCCTCGTTAACCTCGCTGTGTAATCCTCGTTACACGCTTATCGCCGTTACCAAAGCCCGTGTAAGCTTCGACAATTTGTCCGTACCACGAATGGCATTAGCCAGGTCATTCAGGTGCGCTGACGGGGCTCGCGAAGACGTCTACCATCAGGAAGGGTTACGTACACAAAGGGTGTATCGTTTGCGGTGCGCGTAATTGCGGTTGCGTGGATTTTCGATGCTTTTAATGGACTGGTACAGGATTTAGGGGTTGTTTTTCCTACGTCTCAGATTGTTTAGCTTTCTAACCCTTTCCCTTTGCGGTCTATTTGTTTGAATTATTTTATTCTTCCTAGTTCTATTCGATTCATTATTAATCACACCTTTAACGTCCACTATTTTTCCAATCGTTAAACTTGAAGCGGAAAATTTACGCGGTGGCGGACCGTTCCTTAGATAAATGCCCGGAGGGGTTGGAAAAAGTGACGGAGGGTGGGGATGGTCGAGAAAATTCCGCGGAAATTGAAGCGACGCCTGACGCTCGGACGGATAAAGAAAGGGCGAGGTTAATCGAGAAAATATGCAAAGCAGGGGGCGCGTCGTGGCGCCGCCTAATTAGAATAAGGGTTAGTTTTGGCTTATGGTTCTCGGTTAAGGGTGGCCGGATCCCATCAGGAAGCCGCAGAGAAGCAGGAGATGGAGCCGTGAGAGATAGAGAGAGAGAGAGAACGGGGTTGGAACATAGCCAATCATCGGATTAGCATACTGATGCTCAGGGGCGGCGCTGTCGTTAGCGTGGAGGGTGCCACTTGGTGGCTTTGAATTTTATATCCTCGCTACAGCCAGTAACCGGCGTATAAAGGGTGCTTTCGTGGTGGGGGAACCACTTCCGGCGTACTAGGCCTCCTGTGTTTCCTTCTTTCTCCTCTTTTTTTTTTCTTTTTACTATCGTGGACCTTTGATACGGTTACACCCTCGTGATTTTTTTTTATTTTCAACTTACATTAAATCTATAGAAATAAATTGGAAAATACACGGTGATTTACGAAACTCTTCTTCTGAACATTGACGCCGAACGTTTTACTATTTCGTTAAGTCCTTAACAAAGGGGCACTGATTGCACCGGTCACGAGACGCTATGCAACTCAAGTGTGACGAGTCGATTCGACGCGCCGTTTAAAAAGAAACATATTTTCGAAGAAAAAACGATACCACTTGCCCCTCGTTGTCACGTCATTTATCACAGGGCACGCCGGAACGACCGTATCATAGGGCGCAAAGAATCAATCTGTCCGCGTAGGGGTTTCCACCGTTTGCGTTACTAATTACCACGCCCCATTGTTTTCGTTTATACAAACATTACCCCATGAACGTATCAATAATATCCTAAGCAACATAATAAAAGTATCCCAATTTTAAATTCATCATTTTATACACCCTTCGAATCATCCCCCAGCGAGAAAACACTCGAGGCTCATTTTTTTCTTTTTTCATCCCCGCAGTCATCGTCGCTGCTTCACCCCTGTCGATTAACAATATCATCGAAACTGCCGTCAGAAAGACGTTTCACCGTCAACGATCCATTAAGACGGTTCGCCGGGAATCATCGAGGCCAGAAATTTCATAGGGAATCATTCGGTGTACGGTAGTCGGTGGGTGCGCTTTCAGGGTGAAAATAAAAAAAAAAAAAAAAAGGAACGTGGCCGGGGTTCGTTGCGGCGGCACGAGGGCCCCGGGAAAAGCAACGGTTCGCAAGGGGTGATTACAAATCCTCGAGGATGACACACAGGGGTTGGGATGACACCGATAGTCGAACGTCAAAGGCCTGAACGGGGGCTGAATTTTCATTCTGTCTGAACCGTCGACCATCGACAGCCTACTCGATCAGCGACCTAGACGTCCCATAATTATGGCGAAATTATACAGGACCTTTGACTCGTTTTTTTCCGTACCTACGTGCGAACACACCAGCCTCGTTAGCCAGGGATAAGGAAGGCCACGTCAGCTTCCGGAAACCGATTCGTAAGAATTTTAGTTGGGTGTTGAATTCTGTTAATGGTAATCGAAGTGAATTTAGGACCAAGAATAATTTAAGAAATTTATTCACGAATTCTTAGATTACTTTAGAAGAATTTTAGTTTCCCGAGTGCACCCTCTGAGAAGTTCAAATTTTAAATTTCTGTCTGGGTCATTCGCGACCCGTGGAGCGTGGAAGGCGTTAGGTGCGCGGTGAAAGCCGCGAACGCAAGGTATGTAACGCGAACCGGTCGCATTCTCGGAAAAACGCCAACTGGTCATTGCACCTAAGACAAAGACCATGGACACGTGGTCGAAGGCGGATCAAAGGGATTCCCCGGTGCGGCGTGTATTACCGATCGGGTTTGCGTCGGCCGATAATTCAGCGGCGACTTTTGAAATAGTTCAATTACCGCGGCCCGATCGATTTCCGCCAGATGCATAATTCATCGGTGGAAAGCCGAACCGGGTGCAATTTGCCAAAATGGGCAGACAGGTTGGATATTAACCGGAATCGTGATCGATATTGCCGGCTCTGCCGATTATCCGGAGAAATTGCCGCAAGAAAGCGGTCCACTCGAGATTGACGCGTTCGCTGTTCTCGCTTTTTGCGCTGTTCGAGCACTTTTATCAGTAATTCCGTACGATTGATCGAACAAACGTTCCAACGATTGCGCAGGGTAACTTAGGAAGTTGAATTTAATAGTCGATACTTGGTACCATGAGCAAATGAAAACAAATTCAGGTAGCTGTTGTTATTCGAGAAGATGGTAGCTTGCTATCTTAAGATATTGATCCCGGTTTCCTTGGTGAGCGAACCTCGATTGCGGTCCCTAAAAGATGATTATTCGATGAACGAATAGTCAAGTTTCGATGCCTGATTCGTGATTAAAGTTTCCTTTCCGTCGGTACACAAGGAGGGAATAATGATGTTATTGGCAGAGATTTGAAATCGCGTTCGAAAGCAAGTGTTGTCAACCGGTTCGAAACTGGAACAGTCGCGTGCACGAGTGAAGCACGCCTAGTGAATCCAATTACTTCATCCAACTTGCAAGTAGAACCAGCGAAATCAATCGGACAAGCGTTTCACGGATAATTGTGTGATTTGATCATTTTCATTCTGTTACCTACAATTTCAAAACCACTAATAATACCCAATTACACTTTTCTCATAGCCAACTTAAAAATCTCCAATCATACCCAAGATAAATAATTACGTATCTCGACGCGATAATTAATTAACACCACTTTGCACTGAGAACAATGTAGCACTTTAGAGATTAAGTTTATGGAATTAATTTCAGCAGGGCGAACCGTAGTTACCACACTTAACGAAGAAACTTAATCTTCCTGGTGCAATTATCATTTTTTAATTAAGATTAACCGAGAGCAGTGAAATTTCACGATCACCAGCGGACGACTGAAAGCAAAGGGAGCTAGTTGCTCGCCCTTCGCCAAGTACCCTGTATGTCGTCCACGCAAACTATTGATTTTAACGTGCTCTTGCACTTAAGCGCGTCGGAAACCGGAGAACCGTAGCGTAACACCTTTTCGAGCTTCACGGATTCATCCGTGCGACACCGACGATGTACGTACTCTACATCCCTCTCGCTCTTTCTATCGGTTTGTTGTCGTTTTGTCACGTCTGTGTCGGTGCATTGATCGCATTACACGGCATTAAGGTATCGGTAAGCCCGTCATTACGTCCGGCTTTCGAATGGCTCTAGCCGAGTCTTACACGATACTTAGGTTTGTTCGGCGTGTCCGTTGAAACACGTCGATTTGCATCGGCTGCCCACGGCCGCCTCGATTTCTCGCCGGGACACGGTCGTGCACGAACGTAATAAGATAATCTTGCTTTCGCCAAATGAATTTTTTCGAGGTTCCTACGGTGATCGGGACGGGAAACGCGACGTGTGCGGGATCTACCGTGCAAATTCGCCGTGATGAGTCGACGTGGCACAGGTCGCGAAAGTTCTCGAGTCTCCTCGGTTCGGCGCAGGGTGCTGGGTTGAATTCGTTTAAACTTCAACTACTCGTTCTGAAGTGATCGTCTACATCGATTATTACAAGTGCTTTACGTCTAATAAAAATCTTATTACAAATATTTTGGAGGGTGTAGTGTTTGATTTGTTTGTGAAAAAATTTAAGAATCTTTGAATGGGATAAACGATGCCCATGAATCACAGAGATTTTTTAAACATACCGGTTTAATAATTGAAGTTTGAGGCGAAGTCGATGGAAGTGGTTTGTGGGGTAAATTGGTTTTGGTGCGAACTTGGATGTTCACGAAACTTGGCGCACGGAAAGACTGTTTTAAGTACGGCGAGTCGAAAATTGGAATACAGAATTGGTTTCGATATAAATTGGCCTGGGAATTGCGCGACAGAAGTTTACGAGGGAAAGTGGTTTCTGGAAATTGGATTGCCAAGGTTTTCGAAGAAAATTGGTTTGAAAATTGAAACACATCGGTATCGAACCGCTATCGAGATGAGTGGAATTTATTTATACAAAGAAATATAAAACTTTGTCAAATAAAATAGTGTTAGATTAAAGTGATTATCCTGTAATGTTCTGTGAGTTTCAGATAAATTAAAAAGGGCATTCAATTTTTCACTTGTAATTTAAATTTGAACTCAATCCAACCTTTCGATCGTGGACTCCACTGAGTAACCCCAATATAATCGATCTAATGACACGTCATACGCACTACACAGGCGTGACAGTTAAAACGCCTGTAATTTGCTGGAGGTGCGAAACATGTCAACCAAGGGGTGAATGTCAAACGATTTTGACTGTCAAAACTTTCAAATTTCCAAGAGTAAAAACTCGAGGGAAAGTGTTCAGTTCCAAGAACAGCAGTTGAGCAATTAGAGGCGATCGTCGCAAAAAGATGATATATATTCTTTAAGGAATGAAGGATATATTTAACGTAGCACCGAAAGAGTCGTAAATTTTTATTACAGCTGTGAACTCTTACGGCGTACAACACAAGATTACCACAATCATTTCCGCAGCAACAACTTCTCTTCCGTTTCAGTGTAAGTGGTAACGCGTAAGATTCCCTTAACGGTATTGTTCTTCTGACGATATATTTTCAATTTGTTGTTTAAGAAAAAAGGATCGAGAACGTTTCAACTGCTTAAGATTATATTTTCTGAGACCCACCCATCGCGCGAGATTCGATCAGAGTGCAGCTTAAAAAATAACCGTGTATCTATAATCGTATCCCTGAAGGTATCGTGTCTCGCGCCTGGAGGTCTCAGATTATATCAAATTAATGCCCGTCCCTCGGGAGGAACGGTTAAATAAAATCACACGCGGCCAGCCTTATAAGATTGCTAACTCTGCGTCGTTGTTGCAGAAGGCAGGCGCTGTTGACAGTGTCAGGAGGCGGTTCCCGTCTGACAACAGGTGGGCCAGCGTCCCCTGAGAAGCGTCGCTCCTCGAACTCCGTCAACGATCTGCTGGACGACGAAGACAAGCTGCTGGACGTGGTGGGTCCGGACACACCCCATCCGGCGCACCATCAACGCGAGCGCGAGCATTCTCGCGAGAGGGAAGACAGGACCAGCGAGAGAGGCGAGGGCAGCGAGTCGTCAGGCTCGGAGAGCGGAGGTGGTCCTGGTCCCACGGGATCGGAGGGACCGAGGCCCGACGTGTCAGTGGGTCCACCGCTTCATCCTCCTCTTTTACCTTACCTCTATCCTCCGGTACCAGGTCTCTATCCCGGTCCAGGTCCCCTAATACCACCCAGTCCTCTGGGAATCCACGGTGGAGTGACACCGGGCATGCTGTTCAACGCGCAACTCGCCCTAGCCGCGTCCCAGCACCCTGCCCTATTCGCCCATTACCCCCATCCGTTGGCCAGTCCGTTGCATCAACTGAAGGGACATCGATTCGCGCCGTACACGCTTCCAGCACCCTCTCACGGTTCCGCTTTCGAGACTGTCACCCCCGGTAGTAGGACGCTCAGTCCTAGGTCCCCGCCACCAAGGCCACCCACCGGTTCTCCGACGCCTACGGCCGGCCTAACGTCCAGCAGCAGCTCGGCTGGTGAACTGAAGTCGATCGAGAACATGGTGAACGGATTGCAAGAGAAGAGGAGGCGCAGTCCCAGTTTGACGCCCGGTCACAGGGCCGACGGGGACGCTGGCGGAGGGAGTCCGTGACAGGAGAACGAACCTGTAACTAGCACCAACGACGACCCTGAAGATAAGCAGCTGGCTGAACCCTGTGACCTTGAACAGCTGTCCGGCGACGAGAGGGAGCCGGACTCAACCTCCGAGCCGTCGTAGCAGGGGAGAGGGTCGTCGGTCCAACCCTCTGGCACCCAATGCGCCCCGTTCTGGGACGCTTCGCGGCGCTACGGGCTCCTCCGCGTCCCTCCGGGGAACAGGCGATCACGAGACAAACTCGAGACTATGAAGTGCAATTTTACCCTGAGGATCCGAGTCTCGTTATCCGTTGGTTTCTGGTTCGCCACGCTACGCCTGGCTCCCTGTGAGTGTACATAAAATGCCCGAAGGTGGATCGCGCTGGACTGCGAGAGTTGCTGGTGTACATTATTATCCGGGGCACGGAAGGGTGGGGACGCGGGTGGCTGAAATAGGCTGATGGTGGACATGGAAATCGTGTTTGGAACACGGAAGAAACGCTTCGAGCTGCTTGGAGTGTCGTTCGACGTCGAGACAAGTTTCCGAAGCTCGTGTTGGCTTCACGCAAAAATCTTCGTGCAATTATATAGGTCTTCGCATGGGTCTTGACAATTTCGAAATTGAAACTTTCCATGACTTTCAGATCTCGTCGAATCCTAATCTTTCCACGCTCGAAGGGTGTCGAATCGTTTCGAATGGTAGCGAACGGAAGGAAATAGCACGACTGCGTACCCGCCCGCGTGCGTTTTAGATGTAAGAGAGAGGGAGACATTGCAATACAAAAGCACTTCCTACTATTTGCAGCCCCTGTACATATGTACCCTAGTGATATTATATTATATTATATTATATATATATTATATATATATAAATACTTACTCTCTGTATTAATTATTGAATATAATATTATATTAATTATTAGAGAGACGTAAAAAGGACGCATAAACGCACGCTGCCCGATCACGCCTCGACGCCCTCGAAAATACCGATAAAGAAGGTAAAAAAAAAAAAAATAAAAGGAAAGACGATCGAGAAGGTGCAATCAACGAAATATTCCAAATCCGATTCGGTCCCACGATCCGCTTTTCGGTTCGAGCTCGCGTCAAACGTATTTTCTAGGTGACAAACGTCGAAAACCAAGCGTTTGCGGAGTTAGGGTCGCGTAGTGGGCGCCACCGTCGCGTCGCTAGCGTCGCGTCGTTTCTCGAGCCTCTCGGACCGAATCGGAACTATTTATCTCGATAAATCTCTCTCGGGAACGTTGATCCACTATTTCTCCACATTGTTGCTTCGAAGAAAGGACACCGCTCGCCCTTCTCCCGCGTTCCTTCGTCTCCTGTTTGTATAAACGTTAGCGATCGATGTAGATATATTACGGATAAACGCTGTAAAACGTCGAACTGTCGGCAGAAAAACGTAGAAGCGAACTGATTGCAGCCTCTGTCGTTTCCATAAGCGAGGGGGGATGCTCACCCCTAACCTGCGTTCCCGGTTCCATCGTCAATCTCACGTGTTCCCGTAACGAACTCTTTCAACGATGAAAATTTCGCATCCTGATGGAGAAAACAAGTATCGTACTGGACGGAATAATTGATCTAATCGGTGGATAAAAAAAGGGTGGTACTGTTCGCGGATGTCTTGCTGGGGGTTGGAGTGCAATTGCTGACTGCGAGGAAGCTTCGGTTCTTATTACCTTCTTTTATTTTTTTCTCTCTTTTTATAGTAGAATTGCAGCTAAGTACTGTGAAAATTTGTGATCATCGCCTTGTATGAAATGCGAACTTGTAAGTATTTCCGTTCAGATTTTTCTTTTAACCATGTACAAACCGTAGTTAACTCGTCACTTTTTATTGTGTAAAAATGTGAATACCTATATCTGTTCCTACGTGATTTTAATTAGTTAACGTCACTTTGCCAGTTGCAAACTGTCATCAAGATTTTTAAAATATTTTTTTTCCTATTTAAAATTTTAAATAAATGCGACCTCTGTTAAAAGTTTCCCACCATTCTATTTCTTTTCTTACGTTCCTTTTACTTGTTCCAGGTCATGCAAATTGTATTCCAAAGCTTTGGTACCATCCTTCCCTCGATACACATCACCCAGCCTATTGCAATAAATCCAAAAAATTCATAACTCGTCCAGGACGGTGAAGTCAGATTCAAAGGCTCAAGTTCAAAGTTGTGTTTCTCAACCAATCCGCTGCTTCCAATCTCTCTAACTGTCTCATCGCTCTACGACAAATATGAAACTTAAAATAAAAAAAAGGTAATTTTAAATATCATTAAAGCAGCGATCGTTCGAGAAAGACGACCAAAACCCAGTCGCACAAGACGTTCAGTCACAGAAAGAGATTCAACGTAAGAAATAAGAAGAAATACCGTGAAAAATTTGTCAAATCAATGCGCAAACTATTAAGACTAGAACGCGCACATTTTTGTGCGTATACCAGGGCCGTATCGTCTAGTAACGGGGCCCTGTGCAATCGTGGCGAGAAACTCCGCGACGTTTCCTCAAAGTTTCGCGACAAACTTGCTCAACCATCGATCTCTTTATTTTATCCACTCTTTTCACCGTTGCGGTTATTTCTCGAAGCGATTTGCGTATAGTCTTGTGCTTTGAGAGAAAGAGAGAGGGAGAACACGTTGTCGAGAAGAAAAAAATAAGAAGCAATAAAATAAATGAACAAAAGACAAATGTAACTCGACGAGAATCGAAATGTTCTAAAAAGAAAAAAAAGGAAACTAACACGAAAACTCGTGATATTCCGTGGCTTGTATTGTATATTGTACATCCACCAAGCCCAAACCCCTGCTCCGCCACCCCCTACCTCCCAGAAACGCCCTCCGAGATCCACGTGACTAAGAATTATATATATATATATATATTAATTTAAAAATACTATGTTGACTTGTTTCTCTCTTTTTAATCATGATCATCCTTTTCCATTTGTTTTAGCAACCAGAAGAAAACGCAACCATCAACCCCTTGCCTCGTTACCTTGGAATCCATTTTTCCTTCGAAATCCTCAATTCTGTAATTTATATTTTCTATATCGTCCCAGGTAAGTGGTCATTCAAATCTAATTTTCTCAAAAGTAATTTTCTCAGAAATTCAACTATAGGGAAAGGAAAGCCTACCCCTTAATTTCAATTGATTTTAGCCTCGTGAAACAGCCCCTTTTATGGCTGTGCCACAATCGTGTCGCAATTTGACTCCGTGTAGAAAAAAGGATGAATTTTGTTGTCGCTTTTGCTGACAAAACGGAAACTCGTCGTTTGCTGTCGGATCTAGTAATCAGTGTTAATCGCGTGATCGATCTCCGACGTAAGTGGGATAATAATCGTTCTCGCTGACAAGGACACGGCTCGTTCCGATCGGCAAACGGTCGTTGAATAAACAAAATCGTCCGATTAAAAATCAACCAGGGCTGTTGAATTTTTCTCGTCGCGTCCGAGCCTCTGCTTACCTCCTCTCTCCCCATAAAAGCTAACGACTTAATCGCACGTGAACGTACAAATTGCGTGATTGTATAATTAGAACACCGACCCGTGGACCGTGTAAGTCGCTGCTTTTTTCTCGACCAACGCGAAACTTTACGGTGGAACAACCCTTTTTTCTTTCTTCCTTTTCTTACGCAAATATCGCGATCGCTGTTGTAAACAAGCAACCTGGGTATAAATAATTCATGCACACCCGTGTGGACCCACGAAAAAAAGCGACCCCGGGGCGACGAATTTGCGTACCGCGGTTACTTCCTGGCAAATTTTCAGTTGCCTGTTAATTTCCTGCTAATTGACGACGGTTTAATGATCCAAGGTTCGATACAGGTTTAACCGGCACGGTATCGAGAATCGTTTTGGAAAACGCTTTGCTGTAAATCGCTCGCCTTCTGTAATATAATTTAGCTGAAATAATATAACCGATTTTAAAGCAAGGAGGGCCAACAATTTCGGCAACGAGTAATGAATGTAAACCTCTTTTCCGCGATGAGACGTTGTAAACTGTTCAATGTAATCGCGAAATCTTCGTGAATGGTAGACTGCTTTTTACCTGGGTGTTCCTCGTTAATATCGCAATTTTCAACGAGACTTCGGTGCCTCGTTTATCGTCGTCGAAGCTTTCCTAAACGGTCCCCATCTTTCCCCGTCTCCTCGAGCGCTGTTACATATAATAATTAACAGAGGAAAATAAAATATTCGATGAGGTTGGCAGCGAGTTTTAACGAGTGACGATAAAAAATTCACATGATCCACGAGCCTTGTATCGCGACCGGAATAAATACATTGTTACTTCTTTTTTCTACACCTCCTACGAAAGTTCGCGTGATGAAAATGTTGCCGCGTAAATGTTTAAAGGCTCGCCAGGCCGGAATTCGTCGCATGTTTCAGCTGCCTCGATTATCCTTCCAGCTCGATGAATCTTTCATGGCCGCGGTTTAACACCGCGATGTTAGAAAATTAGAAAGCTGTTCGACATCGGAACTGATCGCGATTAATTATCGACGGTTCAGGGAAGGTAGGAAGGTGGATAGAACGGAAGAAGAGCAGTTTTGTTGGTACGTAAGTCTGTCAATTAAATGGATTTCTTAGTTTGGCTCGCCTTTTAAACCGGTGACGCGACAGAAAAATGCATCGGCGAGGAAAAATATGGCGATATAGCGGGGAACAGAAACGAGCGGCAGTCACGTCAATGCCTAATCTGGAAAATCTACGAGCCGTGACATTCCATTTTCATGGTCAATTAATGCAACGCAATCGATCCGACGACGGCGTCGCGCTGACACCGTTTTCCTCATCCTTTCACTCGTGATTTTTCATCCTCGTAGTCTGATAATTCCTCGTCCGACCTCTCGACGCGTGCCACGAAATTGGAGGAAAGCAATTAATCGGCCCCGAAACGATAGACTTCGTTGAAACGAATTTCAACGAAGGGATTCGTTTTACATACGACTTTTTAAGGAACCGCTAATCCACCACCGATGGGGTATGCTAATACCAGCTGTATCGCGTTTAAGAACAACGAAAAGACGAGCAGCTTTCGTGATCGAATCGATTACCGCGAAACTGCTCGGCTGAAATAAAATCGAAAAACGAGCCGTATTAAAGTCCACCGATACTTATCTTTCTACTATTGGAATCTCTTCGTCTCTGGTTTCATTCATTCGTGATCATTTCATGGGAAAAATTGCTATTCCCTTTCAAATTTATCAATCATCAATTTTATTTAACATGGACACTCTTTTCTATGAAAAAAATTATAAAAATTAGGAGGTATAATAATTTTTATTTTAGAGCTTCAAATTTGATAATGGGTTAATTTTACAATATTCTCATTTAAATGAATAAAAAATATACCTTTCGTACAAACGATATAAAAATAATTGAAATAACGATATAAAGTTACAAATGTACAGACTAATTCGAATATCAATCGAGAGTCCAGACAGAGGTTCCCGTAGAAAAAGGATCCGTGTCTGATGGGAATCGAAGGAAACGCAGCTCCTAGCCGAACCAATTTGTATGCTGATGGCTATCTCCATGGAATAATTTATAAACGATATTAAAGCGCGCTCTTTGGCCGGGGCACGCTATGTACGCGCTTGGTACCGGCTACCCTTTTACAACCAACCCCTTCGCCAGGGGGGGTGGACTCGAATTCATCGTCGAAAATGCAATCTGTCATCGCGTATCGGCTGGGAGGATACGATTCCTTTCCATTAAATGGAAATCTGTTTAGATCACGAGGGATCAATCGGACATTTAAAAGGGTGGTTTCGAACAAAGGATAATATTTCTTTTGTAGAGAAATTACTACACATTTCAAGAGTGTTAAATTCATTTATTTTGTTAGGATTCAAATACAATTGTATGAATTATAAAAAAAGAAGAATTGATCCGATAGAAAATAGTAAAGCAGAGAATAGCTTCTTCTACTAGCATGATAAATAGAAGATTAGGAAGCAACTCGAACACCCAGTGGCCTTTGAAACGAGTCCACGGGACGGTTAGCCGGGTCCTGGGGGGATTTCGAGGTTGAAGGGAATTGGGGACCACTCGACAATCCGATAGCGACGTGGATTTAATTGACACCGGGAGGTGTCACAGCGCTAAACTATGCAAAGTGGCCGACTTGGCGGTCGGCTTTCTCCTTCTGAAGTCTTTCCAGTCGATCTGAGAAGCATTTCTGAGGCTCGTCGACGGCGATCCAGTTGAGAAATTAAGGCTACGCGTCCCCTGGAGACGTGTTTTTCACTTGATCGATCGATCCGCCGTCGAGCCGATAGCTTTTCGGGGATACGTGTTTTTCTCTTCCACCGAATGACGTCAAGTGGCGAGGATGACAAGGGGACATTACTAGTTTATTCTTGGATGATAATGATGAACTTTTGGTGCTAGGATAGATAACAAAACAGGACTGACGTGACCGAGTCAAACGAACAGCATTTTCTTACGTCGTCCTCCTTATCTTCCGTCATCTTCTGGCTAATTGCACGGTGCTATCATAATAAGAAGAGAAGAAGAGCATCGATAGAAGCACGCATTAGTTGCGTTGCCATCAATTAAGTTCAGGTTCTCCAGTTCTAATCATAAAGACTTCAGGAACACGCATTACACACTCGAAGGTCCATCCTAATCGATCGTCCAGGATCCATTACCTCGATCCATCGAAACTGTCCCCTTCGCGACAGGAACAATCAGCCAGTCTTAGGGCGTTCTGTTTCACCCAGGTGGTGGAATGAGGCACGGTGGAAAAAAATCCTTCGGCGACGCGAAACAACGGCGTCGACGGTGGAAAAAAATGGCGAAAAATGCGAACTTCTCACCGCGGTCGGCGACAAAGGGCTGCTCGCGGCGGCCAGATAAATCTTTCCGTCTCTGTTGCACCTCTCTCCGGTTAGCTGAACGCCCAACCTCGAATCCCCTTTCTGGTCCAGGTTAACCCGTTCACCCTGCCCCCGCCACGGTTGCCTCTCATTTACACTACGAGCAGCAGGATTTACTGGCCGCAGAATACAATGCGGACCTGTCCGTGTCCATCCAGCGAGACCGGGAGCCATCCTCTAGTCGTGTACCTCTTGGTCGCGGCTATAGATATCCGGCCCGTTTCCACGCCGTCTTCGTTCGTCGCCGATGCAAAGAGGAATAATAGGAGCCGAGAAGTGTCGCCGGCCGTATTTCGGTGCGGATTTACGCCGACGTTCGACGCAACATCGTTTTTTCATTCTTTTTTTCCCTTACGGATCCAACTACGCTGATTAATTGGGCCAAGTTTCGGGGATGTTAATTGACACGGTCCGACTCGAACGTTTGAGGACTCTAGAGACGGTTTAGGGGTCTAACGAGGAGAGGAATTAGTGGTTACCGAGATAGAGGGGTGGGGACCTTTAAGTTAAAGACTAATTGCTTTTAGAAGGGTATAGATTTATACTTTCGTTTATTCTGGGAATTCTTTCACTGTATCATGAGATTGGAAATTTCAGATTAGAATATCTGACAGCAAACAAGGTCCACAATTATCCACGAATTTCATTAGAAGATTCTCCCCTGTATCTCGACCCAGTGACAACGAGATCGTAACAGCCGGTGGAATCTCGAGCAGCCAGTTCCCAGAGTAGCATCGTTTCGACGATCCCTTTGCCGAGGCATCTCCAGAATCCAACCACCCATTCTCACCTGGACACCAAAGTCACCTTTCTTCTGGGGGTGAGAGAAGTGTACCAATGCGCGAGGCAGGTTCCCTAAACGCGACGTAACAGTTCGGCCCTTTTAAGAGGCACCGTGCGGCTCCCTCAAACGCGCCGACAAACGTTGTCCCCGGTAAGAAACCCCCTCCTACCGATCAACCCTTTCCCAAACTGTACACCGCAGCCAGCCGCGCCTCGTTCTTCCGTGAAACCACGATCGCTGACTTTCGTGGACCAGGTGCGAATGGAGTACCAGCCTTTCGTCGCTCTGCCCTTATTAGAGATTCTCGAAACGGGAAGCGGAATGAATGTGGATCGGTTAAATCGATAGGGCATCTGGTCCGTGTAATGTCAGAAAATATGTGATCAAGAAGAATGTAGGAATAGGAGTTAATTATCGTTGGGATAATTAAGAATTTAATCCGGGATGAATGAAATCCAATAGAGGAATGTCCAGGACGTTCCTCAAAACTTCTTCGCCGATCCCAAGCAGATTTGCCGGTTCGAGGATTTACCGTCGTCGGAACAGAGGTGACCAATAAAACCGCGGCTGTTCGGGCATTACTCGGTCGTTCAAGGTCCACGCGTAAATACAAAGTCCGACTCGCTCTTCTCCTCCCCCTTTTCACGAACGGATCGTGTGGGAGTGACTGTTGGCCGCGGCTGATTTGCGATCAATTTGCCCTAATTTACAATCGGTGCCCTCAGCGTCTCCTGGCCATGAAAGGCGCGTCGACCGGGGCCCTCGTCGCGTTCCTCCCCATCGGCCAACTAAACATTCATCCTGGCCAACGAGAAATTAATCGAACGGCTTGTAAAACGTCGCTCGGCCTTTGCTGACTCTCTGCTCGAACCTTCTGAACGATTTCAGGATAGGATGGGAACTATGTCGTTTGAATCAAGGATATTGACTAGGTACATCCATTATGTTTATAATTCTCATTGTCTTCGGTATTTGATATTTTTATTTTGTTAATCGATACTTTCCTAACACTTCAAATCATTGAATACATCCTGATTCATTGAACACAAGCATCCTCTTCTATCGAATTTTAAAAATACAAACACTTAATAAACGGCTCGGTGTTGTTTCAATTTTTTCAACAGTCCAATATTTAATCATCGATTAAAACAAACGTTCCACACTAGAGAAGACACTCTTGACAAGGAAACATAACAAACAGTACACGCTGTCGAGTAAATTAAAATTTGCTCGAATCGGTAACGGATACGAGGCTGAATCACGAATACCCTTTCGAGACCCTGAAGACAGCGGAATGTTTCGAGCTGTTTTATCATTGAATCAATCGGGCTTCCAGACGTTTTTCACACTTTCAAATTTATTAATAACGTTGACCGTAGGATTTACGAGTAACGGTATCGTTACCGGCTCTTGATGGTTTCATTCGTTTTCAGGTCTGCCGGAATCGTGGTAAAAATAATGGCAGGAAATATAAATTTCAGCCTAGACTGACGGCCAGATAAGCGACCGACTGGTTCTCCGGCAGACACTGTTTTAATTACTTTATTATTTGCCCGGTAGAAAGCCTGGCTTGGTTCGAACAGAATCAGACAAAATGGTATAGGTGTCGGGTAAAGAAATAAGTTCACACTTTAACACGAAGAAAACTTAAATTTTTATTTTCTTATCGCTACAATAATTCGCAATAATTTGACAGATTAACACAGGTCTGTCTATCAAACTCTGCGAGAAAAATCATGAATTTATCAAAGTAACGTTAAAATTTCCCTAAAATACAAAAGGTACGCAGAAGACCGGGAGGAAATGCGTCGAGGGTACGGCTGTATTTCAGCGTCTCGGTTTCATGGGGTCCTCTAATACATAACGTTGGTCCCCTGACAAAGGACTCGTGGTGAGATGGTAGCCTACAAGATCGGATAATATGGGTAGTTATTTGTCGGCGCCGATGTTGGATTTTCGTACGAATGTGTTGACCCGTCCATGCGAGGGCCCCCCGCAGTGACGGTGCCGCCGGTTCCGGGGCCCTATACCCCCTCCATCGTTTCACTTTTCCTTTGTCTTTCTTCATCGCTCCTTCCATTCCACTCTCCTCCCTCTTATCTCAACGTTTCTCATCATTTTTCGCGCTCTATCCGCCGACCATTCGCGTTTCGAGTAGATCAGATTAAACGCGAAACGGGCATTAATAGGGACCCTTCGGCCGTGTTGGTCCCTTTTCGAGGAGGAGCACGAAAGCTTTCGGTGGCTGATCGAGCCTGATGACTTTCGACGATCCCAGGGTTTCTCCTTCTTTGTGGGGCCATTTTTGAAATTGCCTTGGGTACGGCATCAATCTTCGTGGAAGGGCCAGTGTTGTCGCCGGTCGGATGACGACGGCGTCGCGTTTCTAAATTGTAACCTGAAATATGAATTTTTACGGGTGAATAAAATACACTTTGTTACTGATAATCATCGCTAAACGCCACTAAACCTGGCGACGTTTATTAGCGGTGCCGTCTAAAATTCCTTTTACGACTCGAACCGACGAGACTGGAACCATTTCGGCCATTGTGATCCTTTTTGACACTCGTTTTCAGCCGCACACCTCGCGATTGTATAAATAATCATGCGTACATCATATAATAATCTCGACGCAAAGATGTATCCATCGAAGGATTCGAAGGGGATTTCAATTCAACCTTATCTCTGGAATAACCTTGATTCATTTTTTGTTTCAGGAGGCGGGGGTCTTTAAAATTTGGCAATTTCGAAATTCGCACGAATGATACGAAGTCTCATGGCTGCGAAAGAAGGGTCGGAAGAAAAAGAAGAAGAGGAGGATGAGGAGGAGGAAGAATCGGCGCGACGCGGCGCCTTGCGCCGTAAATCCTGTTACTCGGTGCCGACGAAGAGAGGCGCGCAGGTGTTGCCGAGGTATCCTCGTTATTTATTGATTTACTTAATTCGGCCAACCAGAGGACCACGGGCCCCTGGTCGTTTGAAGAGAGCCGGCTCATTTCGTGATTAAAAGACGTTACGGACGCCTTGGCGCAGCATGTGTGTGGCGGCGGCCACCCTTCTCACCCCGCCCTTCTCCCCTTGCACGTCGTTTGCACCCCTCCGTGCCGGTGTCCATATTTTTCTGCTTAACGGCTCTCCTCTTTCTCCGTTTATTGCGATTAGACGAAGCGCGCCGGATAAGCGCGAGGCGGGAGCCGAAGCTACGCTCGTTCAATGCCCGATTCTACTCCCTGGGGGAAATCGTTCTAGGGATTTCTAGATACGTTTCGTCAACGAGACGTTCTTGTATCTATGAAATTGCGTTGCAAAACGGTAGAAGAGATCACGGTAACGATCTTAAAAATTGATAAAAAAAAAAAGTGGCGTAGATCGCGGCTGAAAGCAACAATTATGGGAAAGGTAACAACAAAGGTCATATATTAACAAAAATGGGAACAAACCTGACTGAAAAGCAGGAAGTCGCGATGAGAAGTCGACGGCGTTAAAGAGGACACATAAAGAAGGAACGAATGGAAAAAATGATCGGTGAATAACGTAACGTTACGGGATCCCGTAAATAATAATTATCATGAGAATCATCGAGGAAAAACGTGAAGACCCGAGGAAAAAGCTTTCGATCGTCAGGATTTATGTCTACCAGTTCACAATGGACCTTGGTCTAGCTCGAGACACTGGGAAACAAAGCTTGCCGAGAACAGGTACCATTGTCATTCATAAATTAAATATCTCTCAACATATTCGTCGAGGAGGAAAGTTAAATAGTTAGGTTCATGAACGGGGAGAGAAAGAAATTCCTCATTGACGCTGGGGAAACGGGTCGTCGATCCTGCAGGATCCTAGCGATTCAAAGACAAAGCAAAGGTATGAACAGAATGTTAAACGCGCCGCTTCAAACTGAAATCTTCTTAACGAGCATAATTTAATAACCCGGCCGTTACATTGTTGGCCGATTTTATGTGCCATTGTCGTCGGAGGAGCGCGGGAACCGGGAACGGAAACAGCGATAAAAACGCACCACGTGCCCTTTTCCTATTTCTACTAATACCGACAATTTTCCTGTCGTCTCTCGCGTTCGTGCGATGAAATCTTGTCTTAAATACACTATCGACACTTTTGGTATCTAGATTCGAGCTGAACGACTCGTTTCCCGGAAAGGGGAAGTTTCTCGAATCGCGAGCTGCAAGTTTCGTGGTACCGACGACGGTATTCGCGAAACGCAACATATGAAACGGCGAAGGCAATTACGGTGGCAAAGGGAGAGCAACGACAAGCAAGAGCAACGGGCGCAGGTAGCAGTGGCGCGGAGTGCAGTGCCATTTCGCAAATTGAAATGGTACGGGGCGGCGGGGTTTTTTTCTCGCCGTTTAACCGTAATACGCAGCGCGTTTATCCGCGTGTACCGGGTACCCGGCAAAAAGAGGAACTGGCGCGTACAAACGGCAAGGAAATATTGCTCGGTGTCGGCGCGCGAAAATTTATTGCCGAGACTGCCGTCGAAAGCCAGAGGCCGGGCGACCGGGGACACCGTACACGGGCTGAGCAGAAAACTACCGCGTACGGAAGGAGATATCGAAGGAACGAAAGGGAACGTGGAAAATGGGGAAACAGACGGGCAGATAAGGGGACAATGAGAGAAAAAGCCGAAGGAAACGTTCGGAGAAGTTGATGAAATTTTAGGGAAAAAGAAGAGGGACGAAGAGATAAATGAAAGAAGAAAAATGGGGACCAAAAATCCAGATATCGAGAAAACGAAGAAGAGAAAGATTTGCAAGATCCGTCGTCGAGAATAAATAGAGAGTCTTTAATAAAAGAGTAGACAGGGAACGTCGCGTTGTTTCGGCTAATCGAAAATGCGAAATGAAACACGAAGCATCTCGGTACAACTCGACGACCCGTTAAATTGTCGAGCAAAACGATTACAATATCCGTGTGTTTTCTTTCGACTAGCTGGCTGCCGCGGTTTCTTTTATTTCTTCCTTTAACGAGCAACGGCTCGTTACACGAACTTCATCTTCCGTCGGAGATGTCTGTCTTCTTATTTTCTTCAACCGCAACGAACAGTCTGCGCGAGGGCACACTTTTAGAAACGCTGTCTCGAATGCTGACACATGGCCAAAGGGAAATGGCCAGCATATCTTTCTTGATGCGAACACGTTCAAATGACAAAGTTGAGGGACTATCTTTGGTGGTGACAACGAGCTATATAAATTTTCTCAGCTAATTCCAATCCATCAAGGCTTACGTAAACAGGCGGGGACAGGAGCCGTGTGGTATCGCCGCGTAAAACACCCACGTGTGCGTCCTCTCGCCGTGCGAAAGATGCTATCGACCGTTGACGGGATGCATTACAAAATTATGCAAAACGATGAGACACTCGCGATTAATATCTTGGTGGGGTCGGTACGTTAGCCAGCACGCGTTCTTACTCTTGACGAGTATATCTAGACCGCTCTAGACTATTACATAAAGTTTCAATTTCAACCGAATCCTCGGTCAACCGCAAATGAAGAAAAATCGCGGTAAAAATGAACCTGCTTCGAAATTAACCGATAACATCCGGTTTGGATGGAGTTAAAAAAAATAATAAAAGGAGAGAAAAATTAAGATCCCGAAGAACGCGATAATCGTTCGCCGGGCCGGAAGGTGCTAACGGAATTAAGCCAGCGTTTCCTTACTCCTGGCTAATTTCTTGTGTGGTCTTTCCCCCCGACGGACGAGGGGTTTAAACGAGTCGATAAATCTTGTCCGCGTTCGGCGCATGCACGCCGCATAACGGCGTGCTCGTGTCCGCGTGCACGCCGCTTTATATCGGGCCACGTAATTAGGCCGAGAGACAACAGGTGAGCCAGACACAGCTGCCGGCTTCTTTTGGAACCTGACGGTTCGGCTGGACGTTATCTAGTCGCCAGATCGATCGAGATCGTCTTCCAGCGGGAACCGGGAAACGCTTCTTCCACGGATCATCCACCGAACGTTCAACCGAGAAAACTGATTGAACACGACTTTCGATCGGTTCGATGGTTTTTTTAGTCTTGCAATTTAACTCCTTAAATAATTGGGTTATTTAAACCGATGAGTCGAGTGGAATTTTAAACATTTGACGCACGGTACGACAGGGACTTTGATAAGTACTACGTATTTTTTGTTCGATTAACACGAAACTTCGTTTGAGCTGATCTTATCAGCTGGCACTTGGTTATGAGCGAACCGTGACGAAATATACGAGAGTCTAATTTTAACGCGGCCTAATTAACTCGAATACTCGCCGCTTTCGAATCGATTTATCTCTAACCACTCCGAAAGATCTCGCTTTTGCCGAAGGAACGAAGTTTGACGCGGAACAAAGCGGCTCTTCGCGCGATCTCCGTACGATATTCGTATTAAACAATTACAACGGGATCGAGAAAGATTTTTTAAATGAAAATTATAGACCCGTGTGAAATAGGATGTATATTCTTGTATCCATAAAATCATCGTTCCGTACGATCGGAATATCACGGACAGGGATTTTCACGAAATTATTTACACGATTTAATTTCATATCGACGGCTGATCGTCGTGAATAATCGCAGCCGTGTTTTCCCGTTTCAACGGAACTGGTGTTTCGATATCGCGGTGAAATCATGGAAACGATGACACATGTTCGTTGCGTTTACGTGTTGAACCGATTTTTAATTTGCCCGTTTAATACGGCTCGCTATTGCTCGCTGTTTTTCGATGCAATTTTACGAAACGCGCGACCCAATATCGAATCGATGAATAATTGGAGTACGAAGGGCAGCAAGTGGAGAGACACGATTGATCGGGTGTAATACATGCTTCGAAATTATTTCATCCTTCGAATATATACGTAACGTTTGGAAGAAATGGATCGACGGATACGAAAATCCATTAGAGAGAAGAATAAAAATGATTTCTAATCGCAATTTGCAAGAAATTTGCAAGGTTGAGATCGAATGGAATTGCCAGGATCGACGGATACGAAAATCCATTACATAGTAGAATAAAAATTTGCAAGAAATTTGCGATTTAACACGTGGGAAAATGATTTTCTGCAAGGTTGAGATTAAGAGGGCCTGGATCGAATGGAATCACAAGGATCGACGAAAGATCTTCGACGCGTGGAGATGAAGGGATCGCGATCGAGAGATCGATAGCGAGCTAGCAAGCGACCGGTTACCGGCTAACTCGGTTCGCTTAGCTGACCGACCGCCTCGTATAAAGTTGTCCGTCGACCTTCTCCGTATAATCCAGAAGCTGGAAAGCCCCTTATGCTGGTTACGCGCTTCCTCGTCGTTTGTTACCTCCTATCCCTTCTTCTTCAGCCCTTAGCCTCTGGCTGATTCCCTTTCCCTCCGGCTTCTGCTGCTCGGATTTTCTGCGGGGATCATCTGATTGCGTGCAGCCGAGCGTAACATCCAATTCCTCCAATTAAGCTTTCGCACTTTTTGACGGCAAGAGAAACAGACTACGCCGAGGGAACGGATCGGCGGAAGAATGGCAGAGAATGGTGGGTTGGCTGATGAATCGAGGGGATAGGTAGACGAAGGAAACGATCAGGCGAAGGGTTGAAGGAAAGGTCAAATTTTTACACCGTTATTTTATTTCCTGCGTTTTAATTTCATTAAAATTTTATGCTGTAATGTTGCTATATTTTTAAAATACAACGTTGCTATGTTCCTGTGTTTCACCTTTGGTATATATAGAAGAAGGGAAGGGAAGAGCCAGACTGTAAGGGAAAAATGACAGGAGTGAGAAACAGGGGGAAAGGATTAAGCCGCTTGTTAAAATCCGACATTAAGGGCGTCGCCGGTTGATTGGATTCAGTCAGCTCGCGTGACAATTGACTCACGTCATCAGCCTGATCCTCGATCCCGTCTACAATCAGATTGCTCTGCAAAATTCACGGCTCCCGACGTTTTATAAAGTTTGCGATCGAAGCAGGATTTCAATCTATCTCGCTACCAAGGATTGATTTCATTAAAAATAAAATTGCTACACCCAATGGTTATTTTGGAAACCATTCCCCTAGTTACACCAATCGCGCTATCCTGTCTCGTAGATCACGGAAGAGCGAATTTCGAGTGGTCGAGAGACACGACAAAACCAGCACTAATTTCACAAACGAATAAACGCGAGTAGGGTGGTCAGAAACGGGTCGAGCGTGGAAAACGAGCAGTTCTGCGAAAGGCGGTCGAAACGAGGGCTGAGATGGAACGCGATAACACGTGGGGCGATACCGATACACGCCACTCTGATGGAGATGAGTCAGCTGCGTTAGAGTAGAACAGGACTCACCCTCGCTCGAAGGATTCATCCCCTATGCGAGTGTGGTCGCGAATACGTGAACTATCGATCACCCTGGATCCTCGTGACGAATTCGGAGATTCTTAGATTTTTCGTGGATCACGAAATTCCATTTCTGGGGTCGTAGAAGAGGAAATTAATCCTTGTATTGTTTAATAAATTAATAAAAAGAACATTTCCGATAGTTATAGAAATTCGGCTGATCGAGGTCCCAAAGGAGTCGCAAGAGGAAGAGGAACGGGCAACCGTTGGGACACGACGGCATGGCAGGAATAGAGAGATCGGCCGGTTCCGAGCTCGCTCGAACGCCGGTTTTATCGGTAAGGGTGTCGAAAAGATAGACATCGGCGGAGAATACGGCGACCAAAGCGAGATCACCGCCGTTGCTCGAGATAAGATCACGTCGGGACCGCCAATACAGATCGTTTACCGAGACCGATCGGAGATCGGCTTTACGGTGTCCCTGCGGGATCGTTCCGAACCGATGCAATTAGATCCGGCTGGACGACGTGGACACGGGGAATCGAAACGTTTTAGACCGGGGAACAGTCGAACCGTTCGAAATCCTGCCTTCACCGAGATCGTCCTGTTGATTTTCAGCCTCGCGTACAAGAACTAATATAGTAGACGTTAGAATTTTTCCATAATTATACGTTACTATTCTTAAGCTTTCTATATTCCATCTCTGCAAACGGATGGATTAAATAAATAAAAGACAGGAAGTATCTTTATTAAGGACTCCTCTGATGTACGAGAAATCAGAGTTCGGAAATCTGTTCGATTTAACCGTGAAATAAATCGACGATATCGGTCTGTGAAGTCGAACCGATTCATGCATATTAAAGAGCTCTCTTTCAGCCTCTGATTGCAAGCTATGCGTTAATCGTTGATTAATTATTTCAGTGACGAAGGCCAAAGGAAACGATCGCAGAGGTACAGAGTCCTTCGGTCTGGTTCCCTTTTTTGCCAGCAAACGGTTCGACGTTTCTATAATTGCAGACACACCGACACCGTTGAGATTAATGCTCGCGACCGTTCATTCTGATCAGCTTTTACCGGCTTAATCAAGATATTCGTCGGGCGGGCCGTAGTTTCTTTACGGTCAATTACACACATCGCGGATTTCTTTGATTCGATGTTCACTTTCGGCCTAATGTATTCCAACACGCTACTTATGCACCCTATCTACTAGATAGATATATTTCATCGAACGATAAATAAGAAATTGAATAATTCAAGCATAGATTGAAAGTCGGTGTGATTTTAGATTCGTAAAAGAAGATATATTTCAATATTCCAATGATAATAACAATTATCGATTACATACGTAAAGAAGCGTGCGAGTCGCTGTTAATTTCAAAACATGTTCTCACCCCTTCCGGACCTCCCAGTCGACCGGACATAAGGATTAAGCAAATTAATCGTCCTCTTTCGGCGTCATAACGATCGTAAGCAGGCGCCTCTCGCGGTGTCATCTGCCCCCGGTATCGTGCCATCTCTCAACCCTTTCCTCTCTCTCTCTCTCGAGCGTCCCTTAAATCACCCAACAGATCCGTGGGATGGAAAGAGATAGAACAGGATCGTCGATTTATTCCTCATACTCGGAGGCCGGTGTGGTCGGGTGTCGAAACACCTCGACCAATTATCGAGAAACTGGAATCCGTGGCCACCCAACGGCCACCCAGAGGGTCTGGACGTCCTCGGGCCCGCAAACGAGCTCGCCTCTTCGTCGACTCCGGAGTTAATTAAGGCCGATCTCCGCGTTGGGTAAGGACCTTCTGGCTTACGCCGCTGCGAGACCACGAAGGCCGCGAAACGCGATTGCGATTGCACGATCGTTCGATCGCTTCAAACGAGAGTGATTCAACCCCTCAAAACGACGTCTATTATAATTTTCATAATTAACACCGTTTTAATTTATCCATGGCAGCCGAATAATGAAAAATTTAATAAACTGCCGTGTTTCATCCGCAACCTTGGCTTCCGGTGGACCAGTGGCCCCTTTGGGTCCAGGTCGAAATCACGAAGCGAGCTGGCTCGTAGATCGAGGCAGACGAGCACGCGAGATGCGCATATCATCGCGGACGGGTCTGTGGCCGACGAAGGCGCGGGTGTCAGATGCATTCGAGATAAAAAAGAGCGCGGTTCGTGCACGGTTTCCGGTGCACGTACTCCCTTCCACGAGGGGGACGGATCCCCTTTCCTTTTGCTTTCGACCGCACGAAAACCGAAAACGTGGTGAAACTACGAAATATCCTCTCAACTCTTTTCTCGACGTCAGATAAGATCGAGCGCCGCGGACCCCGTCGTGCATCCTCGAGACGGGGATATTGCACCGGCTGCGATGCAACGCTCGTCGTTCCCGAGACGAAACTGCCTTGGAAAATGCAGCAGGACTTAACAAAATTCATCCTGTACTTTTATAAATAATTCCTCGATCCGTTAATCCTCTACATCGTCTCTTCTTCACTTTCAGCGAAGCGGACCGCGAAGAGAACCGAAAACACACCGTTTCAACATCAGAGGAAAACTATTCCAGCGATCCGGGAACGGGCAGAGGGGGTCTGATAACGGCCCCGAAGAGGAGCAGATAAAATTTGTGGCACGGCGGGATGGAGGAGGAAGTTAATGGCGGCTGAACGGCGGGGCAGGGTCACGAAATTTGTGAGGGTTTTTTGTTAGATTCATTAGAAACGTACGATTAGCCTGTAGCCCGAGCCGGTCGCCTCGTAAAAGTAATCTATAATTGGCTCGTAAAACAATAAACTCTATTAAGCCCGGATGTGCACGGAGGTTCCTCGAACAGCCGGCGTAATGGCCGACGCGTACTTTAATAACTAATAACCGATGAACGTGGCGTAATCGGAACCCCTTGCACCCTGTTGGTCTGCCGTCTTAATGCTGTCACGGTTGATTCTATGGGATCCCATGGAAAACGAGGAACAACGAACGAGATTCCCTGAGACAATGGTTCTGACATTTTAGGATACCTGAGGATTGTTTGATCTATCCGTGACTAATTTCTATGGACACAGAATGATGGTTTTTAGAAAGTGTTTGGTTTATACAGGAAGAAGACCCATCTGGTAATTGTTTATGGCAATAGAACTTATTGGTATGTTTCGTTTATTTAAGAGAACTAATCGAAATTTCTGTCCAACGATGATCGAGGATGGCTCGAAGCCGAAGATAACTTGGAGCGAATCTAAAAGCACTCGCAGTTCCTTCTTCCTTCTTCGAGATAACCGTTGGCCTTCGCTCACTTTTCTCCGCTTTGTTGCATGCCTGCCGATACGATCCAACGATTCGGTCGAGACCTTAAGCAGCCGTTTGCACGGACCATAGGAAGCTGAAGAGGGAACCGGAATTTCAGCGAAGGCCGGCGTGACCTTATACGAGGCTGCCTCGATCTCTCGCGATCAATTAGATCGCCGATAAAGACGACACCGTTCCGGAAGCAACTTGTCAGCTTTTTGTTTATTCCCCGTTCACTGTTCGCCGGTTAACGACTTTGAAAATCCTTCTTCTTTTAGAAATCACCTCCTCTTCTTTCGAAATCCCCGGAAGAAATTCCACGGCACGGTTCAAACGGACGCGTTAGCACCATTTTGGAAATCGTTCCTTAAATTTATCGATGCAATTAACCCTTGAAGAAGAAGAATTTTTAAAGGAACAGTGTATAATTTAAAATGAAATTAAAATTGGGGCTCTCTTCATGGTCCGCCATTCGAGGGTTAAGAAGCGAACACTTTCAGGTTTGTATATTAATTTAAATTTCAATTAAAAATCATCAGTAAATACGTATAAAGGAGTAATTAATTCGAACAGAACGTCATTAGGGTGGAGTTGATCGAATCGAACCCCATGATCTTCGACCGAAAGTCAGCAAAATCTAGCAACCCCCTCCAGACGAAGCTACCCAGCAACAATTTAATTAATTCCTCGTTCTCCGCCGACATGCCGGCAACGGGATCAAACGGATGAAGCGGATGTCAGGCGAGGCAAAGCCGAGAAAACGACCTCCGAGTCGTTATTACCTGTCCGACCGGCCGTTGGAAGCACGTCACTAGTCAGAGGATCCCTCTGGAGCAGGTAGCACACGTGAACGTGGTTTTCGCGAGGGGGCAATGGTGTCGGGCAACACTTGTCTCTTCGTGAAAAACTGGACGTTCCTGGTCTCTGACCATCAGCGTCGCCAACCAGGGTAACTCTCCTTCTTCTAAGGTACCGTCCTCTACTTTTATTATTAATATTTAATTAAGACAATTCATTATCCCAGATGGTATATAAATTCGAATATATATATATTGATTTTCGATGGGTTCTTACAGGGGTTGATTTTATAAAGAATCAATTTTTAATTTATTCATCTGTAATCAATCATCTGTCATTGATAATATCTTTAAGTTCCTAGGAAAGAATTTTAAACAAACTTTCATAGCTTCTAATTGAATGAATCACCTATGTGAATTTTATAGAAATGATAATAGTATCGTTAGAAATGTAGACAGGTTCGACGCCAATGAAGACACTGAGCTCCATCCATCAGCGGTGACCAGTCGTCTTCTGGCATTCTCTACCGGTACTCCCTGCACCCCTTGGCGTCGTTGGACCATTCCTCTCCTCATACCCCATCCACCATCCTTCATTCCTGCTCAGCCTTAATTCCAGCCACACATTCCCCGTTACGTTTCTGGCCCTTCGTTTTTACCACTTCCTCGGATTTTCTTTCCAACTTTTTCCGGCAAAACGCGGGCGCTGTCCACTTTAAACGCGACACTGGCGCTGCCCGTTTTAGACATCTGCAGAATTTTATTTTCAATAAGTTTTTCATGAAAATGTTTCCTTATTGATCAGCAGGGTGGATGAAAATAAACCACAGATGTTTATTGGGAAAACACGGTAGAAAAATGCTAAACAGCGCGATAACCGATTTCGAAGATTGTCATACTAATTACAGTTGGCAAAGTGATCGGACGTATTGTTCCATAAGTGCTTATCATCGCTAATAACTGTGTGTTTTAAAATTATTAAACGAAGCAACGCAGAAGGTAAATATAAAATTAAAAAAAGGAGTTCATCCAATATGTTTTGATAAACACCAGTGTCATAAATGATAACTGTTACTTTCATTTAAATTGTTTATTCATAAGATCTACTATGAGTTTATAAATATTTCAAGTTTTGTTCGATAAAAATGATAGAGAAGATAACAATGGGACTCAAACGGTTAATGATCGCGATCGCGGGAAACGTGGTATTAAATCAATTATACGAGACGTTCCTTTAACCACACGAAAGTAATAAAAATCGTGCAACGTGTCGCAATAAATAATAAATACAATAATAGGAAATTAGCAAACACCAGCGACGGCCACCTTGTTATAAATGGCATCGATCAATTTTATTAATAACTTCGATTAAAAAGTTATGAAAGATCTTAAGCGATAGCGGGAAGAAAACGCGTTCGGTGTTTTATCTTTTCGATTAAAAAGCGGCTCGCGTCGCCAGGCGTAAAATATAACGTAATTGCGGCCAGACTTTCGCCTGGTGCGAATTTAATCGGTGCCACGTGATAAATTTAATAGGTAACGAGTCGGTGTTCGATAAAATCGCCTTCTCGCTGGTTTCCTGTAATGTTTCTTTAATAATATTTCAGTTTGATACAATTGCAAATTGAAACTTTTTATCTTCGTCACTGGAATTGATAATATATGTATCATTATACAATTGTATAATTACAGTCGTCGCTGAAATTATTCAAACTAACCGTTTAAATATATTAAAGACTGCAAAAAAGATAAATTTTAATTAAGTTGAATCACATATTGCAACTCGTAAATTGCATCTAATGAAACAGGTTCCATGAAATTAAATTTCCTCTATGATATATAATATTAAGTAATTTTTCAATGATAGTAGTTGGTAGGAAAACGAAAGGAAGACGTAAACCGAAAGGATTTTTTTCCCCTGCATAATTATCCCCGCGAGAAAAAGCGTGATTTACAGCCTTGAAGTATCGGTAATAAATTAGCTAGGATATATTACGCGTACCGGTGATTGCGGAATTCATTTGACGGAAGGGAAAAAAGGAATGCGTCGCTACCGGTACAGAATGCGGGAAAATCTTGAAACGTGACTCGCTTCGTGTGCAACACGTGCACCTATGATTTTCCCGGCAAATAGTTGCGGAAAATTAATCGGAAGATAATTATCACCGTTTTATTTCCTCGTCGAAGCGTTATTATCGTTAACGACGTGCGAATTTCAACGCTTAGGCAACTATACAATTTTCTTTTTCTAAATGAAATAATTCTGTCAATTTTTTGTTCATCCCGAAGGGATTCTTTGATTTTCGACCGAAATTCGTCACGGTATCGAACGATCCTCGAAGAACAATGAAAAACCAGCTCTTATCTCGTTCAGAATCGGTAGAAGCTATCCTCGGACGAACAGATCCTATCGTACTCAGGTTGAAAGAGGCTGAACGTTTCCTGCACGATTTAAAATTTCCACGTTCAACCGAGTGTCACGCGTCCGCGTGAAACGCGACGTCATTATAATTCCTGGCCAGTGGCGAACCAGCGATCGTCCAGAAACCCCCTAAATAACAAACAACGTCCAGCTTATCTGGCCGCATCGAAGACACCCCTTGCTTCGCTCTAAGCGCGGACCTTTTCTCCTTCCAGGCTCTTCTACGTGGACGCTCGTTAAAAAACATAAGCGTCCGTTTCTGGGGATTCTATGGGACATTAGGGAGAGGCTGAGGTGTTGTTGTTATTTAAGGGTAGCCGTGAATGGGTTTTCTAAGTGCCACTGCACGATGCTATCGGAATTTAGAGAAAAATATTAATTTGGTTGAAATGGAAGGAAGTTTAAATAATAAAACTACGATTTGGAAATTTTTTGGTTTATTGAAAAATTGATCGTAGTTCAAGTGTTACATTAGAGCAGAGGGTTAAAGGTTTCTTTTAAAGCGACAACCTTAACAGTCTAAATGACTTATAATCCTAGTGTCACGGTTGGTGTTAATTGGCCTTTACAACCCTTCACGGCAGTCGCTTAATCGTATCGGTTTACAGCCAGCTTGGAAACCTTTAATTCGTTTACGATCTCACCCATGAGGCTACGAGTTTGCCTCGTAGGTGTCACGCCGAAGAGCTCGTTCCACTCGTTCTTCATCAATGTCCATTCTTATTTTTTTCTTTTCATTTTATTATGGGAGAAGGGGTACATTTGAAATGAATGTTTACTAATGTTTATCGCATGGGTACAGTACGCAGTTAAAGAGTTGAGGCAATCAGCAAATGAGTTTTTTCACCTGTAGTCTCGCTTCCGTAACGAAGCTAATCGATAAGCGAAATCCGAAGGAAGAAAACCTCTTCCCGTATCTTTCTCCTCTCTTCCGCCTCACGGGCGACGTTGACACGCAAAGAGTTTTAAGGGGCTTCCCGTTCGAGCGTCCATCTCGTGGCACCACTCAGGCTTGCCAAACTAACGCCACGAAAGTCTCTCGGGGCGACAGGGTTAACCACTTCTTCGCAATTTCTAACCAGACAGTTTGCATTGCAAATTCCTGTCTAACGAGAGGTTTATGTTGTACAGCAGCTGTTGTTTACCTTGCTGGATAAACTTCCGGGATTCGCTCGACTCGCTCGAAAAATCACCAGAGAATTATACCTTTAGTTACTCGTTCCTCTCCATCTGGTACTCGAAGCGAAAACTGAAACGATGCACGGTTCATTATTGTCCCTGATAACGAATCAATTAGGCAAACAACGTCGTTTCTATTCTTCGCGCACGATGATTCCTACCGCGCCTCTCTATCGCAATTATTACCGTCGCTAATTACCTAGCGGCGATGATCGCCGGCAATTAGAGGACCGATTTACTAGCGAACGAGCCTCGATATACCCCAGGGGGGCGGAATTGTTCGAGAAAAGTTGCGAAGGAACGAAGGTAATCGGTTGTTCGACAGCTTGTCCCGGTTCTTCGGGGCTAGTCCTCGCGTCCACGCACGCATCATCCTCCTTCTTGCCTCGGTCGCGTGCATTCTCGCGATGAGAAATACGCGGCACGCCAGCCACGTAGCTGTGAAACGCACAGCTGTTAAACCGCGGCTAAAAAGCAATGCTAAATGACTGCCATAAAGGCGGCGTAATGACTGCTACGGGACACGAACGGTGTCGTTTGCTCGAACTTCATCCTCTGTCCAATAAACGACATTGTACGTAACTGGCGGTGTAATTTCGGCAAAAATCGGTCCATTATACCGAATGCCACTCCCGTCGTGTCTTTGATCCCTTTTTCGGGAGTTGTCTTCTGTAAATTTCTTCGGAAGCCGTATTGATTTAATTCGTGATTCAAATTCGAGTGAAATTGGAAAGAAATCATTTCTCACACTCCAATCGATCCTGTTCAACTAAAAAATAATTAAACAGGTATTTCTTCGAGATAAATCTTGCACCAAGGACCACCTAGCCCGAAGATGGCTATCCAAAGGCAGTGCGGGAACTCGAAGAGAGAAGAGCGGCCACTTGATGCGTGTTTAACACTATCGACCGATTTATCAACGCTTCGATGAAGAGCGGAGAACCGGTCGACGGAGTCTAAGACACCGGCTCGAGACTGCCGTTTCGAAGCTGCAAAGTGTCTCTTCGGTCAGGGGACCGGTCCGCGGGATGCTTTTGCCCGCGCTGCTACCCGAAGTCACTTTATTAAGCATAACCGTGAAACAGGGTGGCGGCACAAGTGGCGGCCGACGAAACGGCAGAAAAAGCGAAAGAGTGCCGCGAACAAGGCTCGGTGTGAATCTCATCTTTTATTCAGCCGTTTCGCGATGGTGTGCGCTCGTATCGAGACCGGACGTTTGTTTGTGCCAGTGGCGGGAACAGAGACACCGCGCCACTTAGGGTGTGAAACCTGCGACGTGCCATCGAGAAATCCAGAGATGCTGCCCTCCCCTTACTCTCTTCGCTCCCCTTTAGCGTCGATCGAAAGAATTCACCGAGAATCCTGGACCCTAAGGCCCGGCCATAAAGTCGTTGTCGTCCTGGTATGCCGCAGCCCCGTACCGCTCGTTTCACGTCAAACCACGTCTGATTGGTGGCTGCACCTCCACCGCTGGAGACTATTTGGAAAATTGAAAAGGAAATCAAAAATTTCGAGACAACAGCTGGTGATCGGGTAATAACTGGGTGCCAGTGACAGAGAGGTCTATCGAT